TGAAGTGTGGGGGTGAGAAACATGAAGGGGACTGCTCCCCCAAATGCATTAACTGTACTTCTGATGACAGACATCCTTGTTACTCCCACGACTGCCCAGTCTGGAGAAAGGAAAAGGAGGTGTGTGAAATCAAAGTAACACAGGATATTTCATACGCTCATGCTCGGAGGGAGTATGAGAAAAAGCACCAAAGACCCACAACACCGGCATATTCCACTATACTTCAGACATCACCGACCACACAGCAACAGAACCACCTGGATACTTCTCTGAGGGAGCGGGTTGATGTACTGGAAACAAAGGTGGATAAGATGCTGTCCCTTCTCAACAAACTGGTGAGTCAGGCAGGGGTTAACACCTCTGATGAGACACTCCAGATCCCAAACCGAGAACCTGAACTGAGAGACTGTGTCCCAACCCCTGCACAACTACCACGTGAGGTGGGAGACAGCATGGCTGAGGACAATCCTACTCCAGGTAGTGGAAATGGGAGTTGTCAAAATGCCCAGGTCGATGTAGAGACTGACACCTCTGATGACATGGAGGATGGGGAAAGCCAAGAGATTGGCAAAAAGGGAGTACACTGGACCAAAGTGGACCGTCATAGTAGAGATAGGAATAGAGGTGGAGGAAAAGGCAAACATCCAACATCCCAAATGCATCCATCGTCTCAAGAAGAGACTAGAGGAAAACAGGAACCCCTCACTGAACAGAGGACGAAGAAACGAATGCCCAGTCTCACTAGGATGGGCACCCCACCCACTTAGTAGAAGGCCAGGCAGTAGAAAGGCTGTATATAGTGCAGAGCATCAACAAGTTTTTAGTGTTGAATTGTGTCTTGGTTGACAGTGCACATTGCACTGAATGTTGCATACATCACACAGATAGTGTGCACAATGCATATATGTTCCCATTGTGGAAGCTTTGGTTTGAAGTGGTATGTATTTATTTGATGATAAGTTACACCTTTAGTTTTTTCAATGGGTCTTAGCATCCTACAATGGAATGCACGAGGGCTCATTGGCAAATGGGCCGAGGCAAAACCCATGTTCATGCATGGTAACTTCAGCCTCATATGTATTCAAGAGACTCATTTCATGATGAATGACAGGTATACTTTCCGATTACCTGGATTTTCTGCGTATCATGAATACTCACGTCAAGGAGGACGGGGTGGAGGAGTGTCTATATATGTGTCTAACAACTTGTCACACTTCCAGGTACAGGTACACACTACATTACAGGCAGTGGTATGTTCGATAAGGGTCCAAAACAGACGAATTGCGATCTGTTCATTGTATCTTCCACCGAATGAGACCTTCTCTTTTACTGAGATGGACCAGTTGATCAAAGAGCTTCCTAAGCCCTTTGTCATTTGCACGGATGCCAACAGCAAACATATGATGTGGGGTAGCCAAATAAATGACACTCGAGGCAATATCTGGATGGATGTGATTAACTTGAATACCTTGTGCGTGTTGAACGATGGTCAACCAACTAGAATTGACGATTTTACAGGCCACGAGTCATTTATTGACTTAACTGTCACAACAAGCGACATTGCTCCCCTGATGGAATGGAATACTGACAAGGACCTCCATTCAAGTGACCATTTCCCCATACACATTAGAATGGGTTCTGATACAGGAACACCACCACCAAATGTTCCACCTTTATTTTCAGGTTGGAATATTAAGCGAGCAGATTGGACTGAGTTTCAGAGGCACTTTTCTTTTAAGTTTGATAGCAGAAATGGTGTTGAGAATTGTGACAACATGGTGGCAGCGATGCTGGAAACGGCCACCCAATTTATTCCCACCCGAAACTGTAACACTAGATACAAATGTCCATGGTGGAATGACCAATGCCGAAATGCCATTAGGGAGAGAAGGCGTGCTCAGAATCGAATGAGGAGAGACCCACACTCTGAGTTTCTGCGAATTGAATATCGTCGAGCCAAAGCAAAGGCTCATCGCACAATCCGTGAGGCAAAGGTAACTTCATGGAGGGAGCTCATATCGATGTTTAACCACCGAACACCAATGAATAAGCTATGGGAGACGCTTCGGAAATTTAACTACAAAGGTCGCATATCCCGACAATACCCGGTACTGTTTGAAAATGATGCAACAATCGATGATCCTCTTGAGGTGGCTAACACGTTTGGACGTTTCTTTGCTGGTCTGAGTGGACGTTCTATGTACTCTGATGTATTTTTACAACGAGAACGGACACTTGTTGATTCCATGCCGGACTTTGGGAGTGAGAACACAGAAGACTATAATAAAGAGTTTTCGTTCCGTGAACTGACTAATGCAATATCTAGATCAGGTTCTACTTCAGTTGGGCCGGATAAAGTGCACTATGAATTTTTCAAGCACATGGATGAAGGGCAATTGCGAGAACTGTTGGCACTTTTCAACTTTTTGTGGCTAAATAATGTTTTCCCACAAACATGGAAACATTCGTATGTTGTTCCTATATTGAAGCCGGGCAAGGACTGTAACAAAGTCAAATCATATCGACCTATTCAGTTAACTTCTGTTTTGTGCAAACTGATGGAAAGAATGATCGGGAAGAGACTGAGCTGGTATCTAGAGAGGTTTTGCCTGCTATCTAGGTTCCAGTGTGCCTTTCGGGAGAACAGGAGCACAATGGACCACTTGCTACGACTGGAGTCCCAGATTCGAGATGGATTCCTCCATCATAGCACTACAATTGGAATTTTTCTCGATTTAAAATCGGCATACAACATGGTGTCTCCTACTATGCTCATGCATCGTCTTTTTGATATGGGTTTTCGAGGACACTTGATGTGCTTTGTCCAATCGTACCTAAGTCGACGAACGTTTCAGGTTCGATGTGGTGTGCTATCGGACACATTCTCTCAAGAATACGGACTTGTGCAGGGTGGGGTGTTATCGCCAATGCTTTTTAACATTGCTATTAACTCGATGTTTAATGATATCCCTCGCGGTGTCTCCTATGCCATCTATGCTGATGATTGCACGATTTGGACACAGGGTAGACGCCTACCTGAACTGTTTCACACATGTCAACAGGCTCTGCACAAAGTTGGTGAATGGGCGCTTAACAATGGATTTTCATTCTCAGCAGAAAAATCCACAGCGGTCATGTTCAGACGTGGATTAAGACATGTTGACCTGGGGTCTTACCCCACCCTTGTGATCAACAATGCAACCATTCCTTTTGCTGAACAGGTTAGATACCTGGGAGTTTTGCTAGACAGCAAACTAAACCTTAGAGCGCATGTAGAGTATACGAAAGCGAGGGCACAGAAACGAATCGCTCTTCTCAAATGTGTATCAGGCAAATCCTTTGGCGCTGATCGAGTGATTCTCCTTCGAATGTATAAAGCTCTAATTCGTCCTATTCTCGATTATGCTGCAGTGCTACTAGATGGGCCGGGCAGTCGCATTATTGATTCACTTGAGTACGTACAGAACACAGCACTACGTATTGCGACTGGAGCACTGCGAACCAGCCCTGTACGATCATTGCAGGTTGAAACCAACGTGGTTCCTCTTAGCCTCAGGAGGCAAGACCTATCCCTAAGATATTATCTCAAGGTACAGGGAGACATTCGACATCCATGTCGCAAAGTGGTTGATATGGAGAGCAACCAACACGTGTATGAAGGATTATCGGAACATTATATGAGAAGGATCTCTGGATTTCCTTTTTCACATAGGTTGTCCACCATGTGCAGGGTACTTGGTCTCCGATTACCACGAAACACGGTGAACCCACGTGGACTAATACCCCCCTGGCTCTTACCTGACGTTACCACGATGATGTTACTCAATGGCACGAGACACATGACAGAAACGGACATACATTTAGCGTTCCAAGATGTGCTTGCACAATATCCAGGTTTCCGGAGATTCTACACTGACGGTTCTAAGATTGATGGATCGACTGGTTGCGCTTTTACAGTGAATAATGCTTTCTTTTCCCACAAACTGGAGCCATGGATGTCTGTGTTTACTGCGGAGTTGGTGGCCATACGCGAAGCGCTTCGTTACATTTCGGATCATCGGGTTGACAAAGCAATGATCTGCTCGGACTCGCAATCCGCGATACGTGCTATAGCGTCTCACAATCGAGAACATTGCATTGTCATAGAGATTTCTGAGATTCTTTACCAGCTCTCACGTGATCGACGCCAATGTATCTTTCTGTGGATACCAGGACACAGTGGTGTAGCAGGCAATGTAAGAGCCGATCATTGGGCCAGAATGTCTCACCAGAAACCGAATGTCACACATGTTAATGCAGGGTACAGAGAGTTTCTGCCCATGGTACGCAAGAGTACCAAAGATAAGTTCGCTGAGATATGGCACGATTACCGCCCGACGCTCCTTAAAGAGGTTAAGCCAAATGTCGGCCAATGGATGTCGAGTTCTCGCAGTAATCGTAGAGAAGAAATCATACTGACGAGGATGCGATTAGGCCACACTCTTCTTACTCACAGACACATTCTTGATCGCGAACCTCCACCGATATGTGACCGTTGCCGATGTGCACTTGACGTTCCGCACATCTTGCTGCATTGTCGGAAATTCTGTGCCGAAAGACGGAACCTGGAAATAGAATGTCTCATATCCAATGTCCAGATGAATGTAGGATCTCTACTGGGAAATGAATTTCCCTTGATCACTGATGCTGTGTTTGCATATCTTACTGAATGCGGTGTTGCTCAGAGATTGTGAGACGATGTGATAAGCACTGTGATTTTGTGATGTCCAACACTGCTGTGACTTATTGGTGAACTAATTAGAGTGCGTGTTATCGATGCTCTGTATTGATTGTGTCTGTAGTTTAGTTAGACAATAGTCAGTTTTCACTCCCAAGTAGTTGTTCTAGAATCTACCGTATCCAGACCACCTCTTTGGTCTATGTAGCCTAGCTGAAACCCTAGTAGTGTAACCAGGATGCCACAACTACGGCCGAAAACTAACCGTTTCTGCCTCCGGCAGAGACCTTCATGTCTACATCCTCCCAAAGCAAGTCCACACCACGGCTATACCTATCCTAAATCCGTAACCCTGCTTAGTCACCCTGCTTAGTTCCCTTTACTCATTAAGAAGAAAAGAAGAAGAAAGACTGCCATCAAAAGAAGTTGGACGCAAGAGCCAAGCTGCTACGCGCCCTAACCCACAACAACAACAACAACAACAACTTGTTGGATAAATCGCAGGCTTTTATAGGTATTTATTTACGCTGTGTAAAATACTTTTTAGTGGGTCTTGCATATTCTATTCGCTTCTTTCTTCCTGTTTGAGATAAATAAAGTTGCTGTTTTTGTCAAGATCGTATGGTTAACTACAGAATATGCAATTTGTAGTTGTGGTAAAAACCACGTGGTATTTAATACACTGATAAAGATATGATATTTGTGCTAAACATTCAAAAATGGAAAAGTCAAAGTGTTTTTCCACCTTCTCACTGCTGGATCCAGACTTACTTGTGGCTTTATTGGTTTATAATAGCCTTGGATTTATCCATTAGCATTTCAATTTCATTGACATTGATATTAATTGATGTTTCCCGAGTTACGACCCAAGTCAAATATAACTCATGTCAATGCATACTCATTGGTATGTCCATTTGTAGATACATTTTATATGAATACTTGCATGTTTGGCTGAAGCTGTCCTCAGAAATGGCAGAAGGTGCTGTGGTGGTGAGTGCTCAGAAGAACAGGAAGGTCATTACTGGAGGCATCCGAACAGCCAATAAAATACCAGAGAGCATTCTGAATGATGCAGAGCTGAATGATGCAATCAAAGTCCTGCCTCAAAACTATAATTTTGAAATCCATAAAACAGTATGGAAGATCAAGCAGCTGGATGCGAAATGTGTGGCTCTGCAATTTCCAGAGGGTAAGCTTATCAGTCAAACTTACTTATTTGCACAAACTTGTTTCTGTGATGGTGATGTCAAAATCTACTGTTCCATCAATGGTAGGTAATTTCCTTTCTTAGGAGATGAATATCACATTATGCAAGATTGAACTTGATGCACATTCTCACTGAAAGACCTGTTAATATTATTTATTTCCATGGCTCATCTACCTGTCTGTCAGTGTTCTTTGACTGACTGGCAGGTCTGTAGGTGTTCTCTCCTCTCTCTCTCTCTCTCTCTCTCTCTCTCTCTCTCTCTCTCTCTCTCTCTCTCTCTCTCTCTCTCTCTCTCTCTCTCTCTCTCTCTCTCTCTCCTCTCTCCTCTCTCTCTCTCTCCTCTCTCTCTCTCTCTCTCTCTCTCTCTCTCTCTCTCTCTCTCTCCCCCTCTCCCTCTCCCTCTCCCTCTCCCTCTCCCTCTCCCTCTCCCTCTCCCTCTCCCTCTCCCTCTCCCTCTCCCTCTCCCTCTCCCTCTCCCTCTCCCTCTCCCTCTCCCTCTCCCTCTCCCTCTCCCTCTCCCTCTCCCTCTCCCTCTCCCTCTCCCTCTCCCTCTCCCTCTCCCTCTCCCTCTCCCTCTCCCTCTCCCTCTCCCTCTCCCTCCCTCCCTCCCTCCCTCTGGCTTCTCTCTCTCTCTCTCTCTCTCTCTCTCTCTCTCTCTCTCTCTCTCTCTCTCTCTCTCTCTCTCTCTCTCTCTCTCTCTCTCTCTCTCTCTCTCTCTCTCTCTCTCTCTCTCTCTCTCTCCTTCTCTCTCTCTCTCTCTCTCTCTCTCTCTCTCTCTCTCTCTCTCTCTCTCTCTCTCTCTCTCTCTCTCTCTCTCTCTCTCTCACACACTCTCACTCTGTCCCTCTCCCACTCCCCCCTCTGACAGACCTGCTGTGTAATTCTCCCACCTGTTGGTGCTCTGGCTGGTGTTGGTGTTCTCTGACTGACTGACTGACTAACTGAAAAGGCTGTTGGTGTTTTCTGACAGGCCTATAAGTGTTCACTCTTGTTGAGAGACCTGTTGGTATTCTCTGACATACAGAACTGTTGGTGTTCTAACTGATTGATGCTCTCTGATCTGACGCAGAGGCCTGCTGGTGTTCTGCAAGACCCATTGGTGTTCTGGCCGGCCTTTTGTTGTTCTCTGATCTGACGCACAGGCCTGCTGGTGTTCTCTGATCTGATGTACAGGCCTGCTGGTGTTCTCTCTGACGATCGCCGACATTCTGGAGCGGTTCACTGGCGCCGAGACGCTGGTCATGGGTGACGTCACGTACGGGGCGTGCTGCGTGGACGACTTCAGCGCCCGGGCGCTGGGAGCCGACCTGATGGTCCACTACGGTGGGTGCAGTGCTGATGGATGGGCTGTGAGGTCCGTGAGGTCAAAGAAGCTTATGACATGAGACCTGCGGTCTGCCTCGGGAAGTCGTTTGTGACATTTCCATTGTTCATATATCCGGCCCGAAAATGTTCCGCCCATGCTAACCAGTGGTGTGCAAAGTAAGCCCGTGATACGTAGCAGCACGAACACAAATTTGGCTAGATTTTTAATGTGTAGCACAAGAATGTGAGTTTTCACCTCGGTTTTGACAAAATGTCTCGTTTTCAGGACATAGCTGTTTGATTCCGGTCGACCAAACATCAATCAAGATGTTGTACGTTTTCGTCGACATCAAGATCGATGCCGTTCATTTCATTGAGACGCTGAAATACAATTTCAAGGTATTTTTATCCTGGCTTTCCATTCTCGCACAGTGTCAGTCATTGTTCCCGACGCAACTGCTCGGTTCTATTTCGGTTTCGGTTTGATTGAATATTGAAGTTCGGTATCGTCCCGGTCCGGCATTATGATCATTATGCGCCCACAGCTATACCTGTGTTTGTGGTGAACGGGCTATGGCGCTATATTTGTCTTCAAATATCTGCTAGGTTCTACTGTGATGCATCTTATGATTCCCCGGTTGTCGTCGTCTGACCCATCGTTTCCGGCTGTATGTCAGGCCGATAGCCGCCTAAGCTGACTCGTTATTCCCCGGCGTATGAGCACCAATGTCTTCTGACCTGATTCGTCTTACTTTTCTCACTTTATGTCGCGCCGATCGCCGTCTGACCTGACTCTTTGTTCCCGGCTGTGTGACAGGCCGACCGCCGTCTGGCTCTGGTCAGCACCGTTCAGTTTGTGGCCACCCTGCAGTCGGTGGCTGCCGAGCTGCGGACGGACGGCTACCAGGTCACCGTGCCGCAGGTCAGTGAGCGAGGGGTCGGGTCACCGTGCTGCAGGTCAGTGAGCGAGGGGACAGGTCACCAAAGTCACATTACCACTGTCAGGTCCCGAGCCTAGGATGTCACATACAGGGCGAGCTGAATCGTCCTGATGCAAGTTGTTTTTGGACGTTCCCAGTCCCACCACTGCTTACTGTCCGTACTTAGCTGCTAGGGATGCACGGTATATCACTATATGAAGATGGGTACATAACTTCATTTTCGGCGAGTCATGATATTCCAGAGTGCTGCTAACAGTAGAATTGCCAACCTGAGCAGCTATTCATGTATTTACGATGCATGGTATAGTGTATACACTGGTCGCTGGTCGGTATCACACCGTGTACCGCGGTGCGCCCTCAGATCCGCCCACTCTCGCCCGGAGAGATCCTGGGCTGCACTTCTCCGCGGCTGCAGGAGATCGACGACCTCGTCTACCTCGGTGACGGCAGGTTCCACCTGGAGAGCGCCATGATCGCCAACCCCAGCGTCACATTCTACAGGTCAGTCATCATTATACAGCACTTTAATTTACCGGTCAGCCAATACTGATCCTCGTCATCGTGCGCTATTGATATTTAGTCCACCGCCTCTGTCGGGTGATTTAGCGGAGCAAATATAATTTGGTGGAAGTTTGAAGTTTACTTCACAAACAATGCATATTTTTGTGAGGCTAGTAACCGGATTGATTAAGAATATGAGAACTCAACAGCAGCTCAAAATAAAAATGTTTTTTTATTCATTGAACATTTTAATGTATTTTTGGAAAGATCTGTCAAATGACTAGCTTGGTGTTGAATCCTTCAGCGTTCTGCACTCAACGCCTCTCTCTCCCCACCTGTGCCCGTTTCTAGGTACGACCCGTGCAGCAATGTGTTTGCCCCTCTCCCTACCCGTCACTACCTCCCTAGTCCCTACCCGTGCCCGTTTCCAGGTACGACCCGTACAGCAAGGTGTTCGTCCCTCTCCCTACCCGTCAATACCTCCCCGCCCGTCCCCGTTTCCAGGTACGACCTGTACAGCAATGTGTTCGCCCCTCTCCCTGTCCGTCAATACCTCCCCGCCCGCCCCCGTTTCCAGGTACGACCCGTACAGCAAGGCGTTCGTCCCTCTCCCTACCCGTCAATACCTCCCCGCCCGTCCCCGTTTCCAGGTACGACCCGTACAGCAAGGTGTTCGTCCCTCTCCCTACCCATCACTACCTCCCTACCCGTGCCCGTTTTCAGGTACGACCCGTACAGCAAGGTGTTCGTCCCTCTCCCTACCCATCACTACCTCCCTACCCGTGCCCGTTTTCAGGTACGACCCGTACAGCAAGGTGTTCGTCCCTCTCCCTACCCATCACTACCTCCCTACCCGCCCCGTTTTCAGGTACGACCCGTACAGCAAGGTGTTCGTCCCTCTCCCTACCCGTCAATACCTCCCCACCCGTCCCCGTTTCCAGGTACGACCCGTACAGCAAGGTGTTCGTCCCTCTCCCTACCCATCACTACCTCCCTACCCGTGCCCGTTTCCAGGTACGACCCGTACAGCAAGGTGTTCGTCCCTCTCCCTACCCGTCAATACCTCCCTACCCGCCCCCGTTTCCAGGTACGACCCGTACAGCAAGGTGTTCGTCCCTCTCCCTACCCGTCACTACCTCCCTACCCGTCCCCGTTTCCAGGTACGACCCGTACAGCAAGGTGTTCGTCCCTCTCCCTACCCATCACTACCTCCCTACCCGCCCCGTTTTCAGGTACGACCCGTACAGCAAGGTGTTCGTCCCTCTCCCTACCCGTCAATACCTCCCCACCCGTCCCCGTTTCCAGGTACGACCCGTACAGCAAGGTGTTCGTCCCTCTCCCTACCCGTCACTACCTCCCTACCCGTCCCCGTTTCCAGGTACGACCCGTACAGCAAGGTGTTCGTCCCTCTCCCTACCCATCACTACCTCCCTACCCGTGCCCGTTTCCAGGTACGACCCGTACAGCAAGGTGTTCAGCCAAGAGTACTACGACCAGCCGCGCATGGTGGCGGCCAGGGAGGCGGCGGTGACACGCGCCGGCTCGGCGGCCACCTTTGGCGTCATTCTGGGCACGCTGGGCCGACAGGGCAGTCCGCGCGTGATGCAGCACCTGCAGGTGGGCGGCGGGAGGGGGAGGGCCGAGGGGAGGGAGGGGAGGGACGTGGCCTCGAGACAGGGCACTTCCTCGAGGACCAATTGAGGAAGTGTCGGCCACACGCTCTGACGGTGCAAGGATTAGGATTGCTGGATGTTATCCAGCAATGTCCGTGTTAGACGGTATTTATTTGCTCAGATGATTATAGCGTAGTGAGCAGGTGTTGATGTGTCAGGTGAAGCTAGTATTCGTTTCCTGATGCGAAGAACGTTGGGGTCTGTATGTTGCCAGTGCTGTTTGATCAATGATCATGCATGGGTGATGTAAATATGTGCAGATGGTGTATTGTTTGGTTGGCCGTGAGACATACCTCTAGTCTTTGTGCTGTGGACATTGAACATCTTGCAAGTTGCTTCGCTGTGGTTCTGCACTGCCATGAGATGCATAAGAGTCGCACTTGTATTAGTTTGATCGCAAATGAAGATCAACGTTATATTTTAATTTACTTGAATGCTTTCATATCTTCTTGATCATTGCATAGCATATTTATGTCTCCATGGTCTGCAATTGATCACTCTACATTTCGAGATGGCCGGCATTGTCTCTACTGCGTCCGTGTATATCACCGTATGACTGCCTGGTCCGTGTATCTACGTTATATTTTGTGACGTATAATACGTTGTGACGTGAACCCATCTCTCCAAAAACACCGCTTTGTCTTCGTTTACCTAATTTCTTTTGTACGATCGTCTAACGTCTGTATGTCGCTCCCGTAGGACCTTCTAACGTGTAACGTCTGTCTGCCTGCCTTCCGTTCTTACAGGACCGTCTGAAGGAGCGCGGCGCCCGCCAGGTGACCGTTCTCCTCTCGGAGGTGTTTCCCGACAAGCTGCGACTGATGCCGCAGGTGGACGCCTGGATGCAGACGTCCTGTCCGCGCCTCTCCATAGGTGGGTCCGCTGGCTGGGGTGCAGTCCTAAGGGACATGCGTTGGACGGGGACGCTACGAAACGTGGATCGTACTGATGTTGTCGAGTCAGAACATTGTTTTATCAGAAGTAGCCATTAGAACGTGCTTTTCGCTGATAATGGGCTTATTTTGCGTGTCTATAATTATCAAAAGCATGCGTTCGCTGTTGTTTGGTTTCCATGACTAGAAATGTTATATCTAGCCCCTTGGGCCTTCCGGTCCGTGTGTGAAGGACCCGCTGTGTTCCCCTGTGACCCTCTGTGTTCCCCTGTGACTCTCTGTGTTCCCCTGTGACCCTCTGTGTTCCCCTGTGACTCTCTGTGTTCCCCTGTGACCCTCTGTGTTCCCCTGTAACCCTCTGTGTTCCCCTGTGACCCTCTGTGTTCCCCTGTGACCCTCTGTGTTCCCCTGTGACCCTCTGTGTTCCCCTGTGACCCTCTGTGTTCCCCTGTGACCCTCTGTGTTCCCATGTGACCCTCTGTGTTCCCCTGTGACCCTCTGTGTTCCCCTGTGACCCGCTGTGTTCCCCTGTGACCCTCTGTGTTCCCCTGTGACCCTCTGTGTTCCCCTGTGACCCTCTGTGTTCCCCTGTGACCCTCTGTGTTCCCCTGTGACCCTCTGTCCCACTCTGCCGACAGACTGGGGCACGGCGTTCGACCGGCCGCTGCTGACTCCCTACGAGGCTAGCGTGGTCCTAAACCAGGTGGCCTGGCGCGGCCTGCAGTACCCCATGGACTTTTACGCGGCCGACAGCCTGGGCCCGTGGACGCCCAACCACCGTCCGCCGCGGCCGGGCGGGACGGCAGAGAGACGGGCCCGGCACCGGCCGGCGGCCCCGGCTGTCACCGACACCGCCCCCGCGCCGGCCGGCTGCACCAACTGCGGCTCGTGTGAGTGTAAAAAGGACGGCCGGTGAGCGCGGAGAAACGGAATGGTGATAGGTGATCAGCTCAGCGGGTATATTGTTGCTGAAAAGGAGCGCTGAAAGTATTTATATTTGTATTTTTGCAGTGCTTTATACTGAAATACAAGACAATAGACTTTATTCCCTTTTTGCTTAGTTTCCAGCTTACTCAAATTATCGTGGGAAGTCGACGTTATCTTGCGATCACCTCGATCATTGCGACTATCTATCTGTTCAAAGTCGTAATTAATCATAGCTGCAGTACCCATCTCATATTTTGTCTTTCTCGTAACTACAGCTTACGCAATACAAAAACATTGGTTCTAGCCTGCAAGGTGCCCAGCCGCGGTCAGGCATATCTTATGACATCGCGTCATTAAAGCACCGGGAATTGTTGACAATGTGTATTCCATACCACACTGCCCGCACACACCTCCAGGTTACGACACTGATTTTCCTGCAGTACCTACACCGCCCGATTAGCTGATGTGTGCTCGAATTACACAATCGAGACAGTCTGCCGCCGCTACCGCCGTACTTGTTATACACACCGGGCGATATTCGGTTCCACCACAGTGTGTAACTTTCTCCGAAACACCCGTACATACATATACCGGCGCCCAAAGAGTCGAATAAGGCCGATCTGTGTATTGTACACCGTACAGCAGAACGATAGTCGAGGCGGCACGGTCACAAAACGCGGAGCGATTTGAACTGTTGGTCGTCACACACGTCATACACATACACGAGTCCAGCACCCCAGCGGGCGTGCTGACACAAAGAGACGGCTCAAAAGATACCAAATCTTTGGTAAGGTTCTATCTACCACAGAGCTACCACGAAGCCGCAAAGGTTGAGCCCCTACTCTACTTAAACTAAAACTGTCGGCGTCGTCCTCCTCATTGTCATCAGTATAATATCGCAGCCATTTGTCTGTGCGTCTGTTTATTGTGTTGCGTCTGTCCCTCAGTAACCATATGCCTCCTCAAACGTAGTTGAAAGGCTGTCAGGCGCATTGTAAATGTCACATTCATAACGTCTAGTGCATCTAGCTACACACCTATTTCTACACATAGACTACGCTACAATTACGAACTGTCGTCTTATCAAAGCATCACCATTCAGTCCATATTGTGGAACATGTGCCGCGTGGCTTCCTTTTGAATTTGGAAACGAAACTACCATTTACCAACATAAATCATGGATGGGTTACCAAAAATAACACATCAAGTTCGTTTTTATAAACGAATGGAAGAGCTTTCTGGGTGGGTCCTCCTCCTTAATTGTGTTCCTCGGAGCTCTACTCTATTTGATAGTAGGATACGGGCCATTTGGCATAACCAACAGTCCGTCAATTGAACCCTGTGCAAAGAATTTGACAATGTCTAGTCGGTGTGCTATTGACGCACTGACGACTGTTTTGTCTCTCCTTGCCCGATGTTTTCGTGCATGTGCTCTAGGTCTGGTTCAGGATCGGGAGGGACACAAAGATTCCCATTCCCGTTTGAGATTTTAAGGTCATCTGTTGTCAAGCGATGACGACTCGCACCCAATGATTTTCCTATTTTTATGTTCTCTCTAATTCAAGATCGATCTTGATGTTCAATAATGACTTTCAGCTCTTGCTGGTCAAAGCTAATAGTTATATTCGAACGTCAGTTATGTCTTTTCGGTGGTCCGTATTATATTGTCATGTGATTTGTATGATGTCTTATAACAGGTCATGGACGCGTTATTTTTAAAAAACAGTGGTCACGGTTTCGTCATTTCCGTCCATGCAAGTCACTGTTGCATCTACAACGGTTATTTCCATGTCATGTTTTGTGGGCTTTGGTCAATTATCGTCTTTCCGCAGTAGTGCTGCGATCAGTCCGCTCTACACACATACAGCAGGCGAGCATACATCAGGGAATCCAAATCGCAAAGCCTCAGATACACTTTTTCAGCATTTCATCGGCTTCGTCTGCACTGGGCAAAGTCCCGCCATTAAAACTACGGTAGTTAAAGGTCCGTAAGTCCACGCAAGTCATCAGAATGTCTATTGTCCATCTTCAATGGTCGAGCGCATTTGGTTTGGATAGCATGCAAGGTGTTCGGGCAAAATTCAATAGTCAAGTGATCTGGCTATGGGTTCATTGCTGTGAAGCTTGCCGAAGCTGCAACTGTAGCAATGTTGGGTCTGTGTCCTCGTAATTTGGCTAACTGCAGTCCAAGTCTGTCAGCGTTAGACGTTGTTTGTCTCCAGAGAGCGCCTGTGCCAGTTTTGGTAGTCGAGGCTCTGTCAGTTGTAGCAATGAGTGCGGGTTGTGAACTTCATCAGATGGTGATAACTGATAATCAGTTGTTGTCGATATACCGTCCTCGTCAAGAACAATTGTCGAGAGTCAGCGAAATCTTCAATGACCACCGCTCGTTACCGTGATCGAGTCTTCGTCAACAGTGGCAAATGTGGTCGAGACGTCTCGTCTGCGTTAGCTTGGGTTTTAAAAGCCTGTCATCGATAGCTGCAGTGGCCAGGAGTCCACCAATTGCAGCCACAGCAGTCGAGAGTCCGTCAGTATTGGGAATCCGTCGTCTCCGTGATGTTACGCCCGGGAGTGGCCGGTACAAACTGTCGGTCGGTATCTGCTGCAGGTTTCGTGAGGTTCGTCAGAATTTGCTACACTGGTCAAGAGTAAATTAGTATTTGCCACGGCACTTGAAAAGTTTTTCTTTTTGTATTTTCTCAGGGATTTAGAACGTCAGCATTTGGTACTGTAGTCAGCAGTGAGCAGACTGTCAGCTTTTGCTACAGTGTGCAAAAGTCTGTCATTTGATTTGCTATGGCAGTCAAAAGTCCGTAAGTACCTATTTGTTAAAAAAAGTCAACAGGCCGACAGCTTAGCTACAGAAGTCAGTAGTCCGTCATTATTTGCTATAACAGTCAATACTTCTGTCAACATTTACTAATCAATAGTCAACAGCCAACAGCCAATAGTCTGTCAGCATTTACTACAGTGGTCAGGAGTCCTTCCAGTGCCTGCAGTGGTAAAAATGTCGGCATTTGCTGCAGAAGTCAATCGTCTGTCAAAGTTAGCTGCAACAGCCAGGATCCGTCAGTATTTACCACAGTGGTCAATAGTCCGTCAGTATTTAGGCTTAAGCAGATAATGATTCGCAGCCTTGCTGTTCTAGCTACTACGCCTTCAGAGTTAGACGGATCATTCTTGAGCTTTACACATAGCCTCGGAAATAATAATTTTGAAGTTACAATGAACATAGCATGTGGCAATATTGATGGTGAGCTTATTCGTGGCTCTTGTATGAATGATGGAACTGTGGACACAATCAAATTCCTGCTCAACAGCACTTGCTCTCATTCGCGTAAAATTCTTAGGCTCATAACAGTCACAAATGAAAGCACCAGGCACACAACTTGAACTAAAGTATAGGTACTATCGATGGTTTTAGAATGTCCAATGATTGGCTCTTGTGAATGTCCTTGCGTGGCCTAGCATTGTTCTGCAGGCATTAATGTATGTACCTACCTGGCCCAATGTATATGTACTGCTACTTGTTATAACTGTCACCTCACCTTGTCACCTCACATTGTGTGTGTGATGCAAATAAATGTGATGATGATGATGATGATTTGCTACACTCTACAGTGGTCAGTAGTCTGTCAGCATTTACTTCAGCAGTCAGTAGTCCATCAACATTGTCTATAGTAGTCAAAAGTCGTGTCAGTATTTGCTGCAGTGGTCGCGAGTCCGCCAGTATTTGTCACAGTAGTAATGAGTCAGTAAGTATTTATTACAGCAGTCCGGAGTATATATGCGTATTTCCTACAGTTGTCAAGAGTCTTTAAGCATTGCCTACAGTAGTTAGAAGTCTATCCACGTTTGCTTCAGTTGTCGATAGTCCGTCAGCATTTCCTACAGTGGTCGAGAGTACCTACGTCAGCATTTGCTGCAGTGTTCGAGAATCGTGAGTCCGTCAGTATTTGGTATAGTAGTCAAGCGTCTGTCAGTATTTCCTACAGCAGTCAAGAGTCTGTCAGTAATGGCTACAGTAGTCAACTGTCCTCAGCATTTTCGACGGTGATCGAAAGTATGCCAGCATTCAATACGGACAGCATTAAATTACTGTTTTTATTGCAGCTGTCATAGTCCGTCAGTATTTACTACAGTAGTCAATAGTCCGACAGTATTTGCTGCAGCTGTCAATAGTCTGTCAGCATTTCCTGCAGTGGTCAAGAGTGCGTCTTCATTTGCTACAGTGCCCAGTGGTCAAAAGTCTGTTTGCCTTTGCTGCAGTATCAAATAATCCGTCAGAATTTGTTACATTAGTCAATAGTTTGTCAAACATTGGCCCCAGTAGTCAATAGTCCGTCAGTGTTTACTGCAGTGGTTGATTATCAGTACTTACTTCAGTAGTCAATAGTCTGTCAGCATTTGCCACAACAGTCATTAGTCCGTCAGTATTTCCTGCATTGGTCGAGAGTCTGTCAGCATTTACTACAGTAGTCAAAAGTCGGTCAGTATTTACTACAGTAGTCAATAGAATGTCAGCATTTGCTACAACAGTTGTTAGTCCGTCAGTATTTCCAGCAGTGGTCGGTATTTGGTCAGTATGAATTTAGTTACTACAGTAGTCAATAGAATGTCAGCATTTGCTACAACAGTTGTTAGTCCGTCAGTATTTCCAGCAGTGGTCGGTATTCTGTCAGTATGTATTTAGGTACTACAGTAGTCAATAGTCAATACCTCGTCAGCATTTGTCGCGGTAGTCAGTAGTCTGTCATCATTTGTTACAGCAGTCTAGAGTCTGTCACCACTGCTAACAGAGGTTGAGAGTCTGTCAGCATTTGCTACAGTAGTCAATGGTCCGCCAGTAGGTATTTGCTACCATAATCCGTCAACATTTGGTGCAGTGGTCAATTTAGTCGGTCAGCTTTTACTGCAGTGGGTCAATAGTCCGTTTATATTTTTTCAATGGTCGATAGTCAACTCAACTCAGCAGTTACAGTAGTCAATAGTCCGTCAGTATTTCCTTCCTACAGTGATCAATATTCCGTCAGCTTTGGCCTCAACGGCGGGAAGTCTGTCATCATTTACTACAGTGGTCGACAATCCGTCAGCATTTAATTTAGTCAATAGTCT